GGATGTTACAAATCGAAGAATTTTGATGTTTTTGAGAAAACCTAAGATTGTTATCAAAGGGTACCCGTGGTATCGATCACTTTTCACAACCCAATGTTGAAGACGACGAAAAGTGTTCAATACCGTCTAATAGAAGGTTATCAAATTTTTTTATGGGACTATATGGGGTTATATGTAATTTCCATGGAAGAGTTTGTTGCCCTCTAATAGGGGATGTCGGACATCTGATAGGACTTACAGGGGGTATAATAATTTTTACCTTAAAAAAATACAAATATCCCCTATAAGTCCTATCAGATGTCTAGTACCACCTACTGGAGGGTATCAAAATACCCTTTATGAAAATTACATATACTCGCGTATAGTTCTATTAGACGTCTAATACTCCCTATCAAACAATATCTGACACTTTTCATCATCTTCAACCTTGGATTGGAAAAATGATCGATACCTTGTAATAAACAGTCCTGGATTTCGTCAAAAAAATGAAAATCCTTTGGTTTTCAACATCCCCATCTAAAAATTAACCTAGAAACTAATATTAACCACCCATCTACATAAATATGATTTGATTTGGAAGGAATTGTAGTTACAGAGAATGAGTCAGACAAGTTTCAAGGGTTGAAGAATGAGTTTTGGTTAAAGGGTTTAAGAATTTGTGAATAGGGGTATTTTCATCCGTAAAAATATTATATAAGGCCATTTTGCTATATTGTGAGAAACTTTTCAAAAAGTGCTGCTTTTCATCAGCATCCCTAAAATAGTGGGGTTTAATATAATTTCTCATATTTTGGTTTAATATAATTTCTCATATTTTAAGGCAAACATAAGGCAAGGTAAGAGAAATTTACCATCTTTCACCTATCTCAAGTATTTCAAACTTTAGAATTGATGGATCTTATCATTGTAGGTGATCAATTTATATATTAAAATTTACATAACATGATTTTTTAACTACCAAATCAATTTCTTTATCGTTATTTGAATATTCAATATATGGAGTTTTAATATATATTAAATTTTTATTTTTTTTCATTTCATATCATATTAGTTTTTGTACAAACGTTTATATATAATAGTTATATGAGTGATGTTCTTAGTCCCCCACATTTTATCTTTCAAGAGCCAACTTCTAAGTTTATCTCATTAAAATGTTTTAATATATGCAAATCTCTTTATAAACCCCATCTACCAAAAATACCCTTTTATTTATGTTTTCAAAATTTTCTATGCTTCTTATTTTGAATGTAATATTTAGAGATGAAATCCATTCACATTTGTTTTTACTTCTAAGATTGTAAGAATAATAATAAAGAAATTTGGGTGCATCAATTAACTTATAAATTTTGGAGAACTGCAGAAGTAGAGAAATATTAAAAAGGAAATAACAAAACAAAAATTTAGTACTTGTATGATTTTAATCAAACTTTTTCAATTACATAAACTTCGTCTCCATTGTTTACAAATAGAAATAGGGTTTAATTGAATCAAGGTTTATGATTAAAAGAGGAAAGAAATTTTTTTATAGTATTTTTAAATAAGGGATAAAATTGTACTTAAAAAAATTAATAGTAATTAGGTATAAACTATAATGAGATAAAATATGGGAGCCAATAAAATTACTCTATTTATATATCTAATTTGGAATATCATATTAAACTAGCTTAATTATGCTGAGTGGGACCCAACATGGCAAGCCCAATCAGCTGGCAAACTAACCAATCAAACAAACGCTCGTGAAAATTAATATCACTAGTATTAATCATAAGAGGGTAAGACTTTATTATCAGTAGACAGTAGGGAGTAGGGACACATACCTTAGTAGTAATATATATAAAAAATGTATAATATAAAATTATAATAAAAAAAATAGGCTAGCAAGAAGAAACAAAGAAGAATGCTTAAGCTATGTGAAATAAAATAAAATTTCTGTTACTATAGTGAAAATTTGAGAAACTATGTGAAACTATCATCTGAGCTTGCCTCATATTTGCAATAATAAATTGTTAAATACAATATGATTCAATAATAAATTGCATTAAAGTATTTTCAATCAGACCTAACCCATTTTCACGTGGAATTTCATTGGTATTAGGTTTCGCGTTTGGGTATTTTTATTCCTTCTAATTTTTTTTTTTTTTTTTTTTAAATTATTGTATACTTCCATAAATTATTTACTCCTTTAAAGTTTCGTTTTCCCCCTAAAAAGTATCAAAACCCCCTTGCCCTTGATAGGAGAAAATGAACTATGACCAATGAAGCCCCAAGAAGATAATAGATCCTAATGTGCAGCAAACACTTGCAAAACCTTCTTGTGTCCCTCAAAAGTGCTACAACTTACAATGCTAAAATTATAGATCAAGTTCTTACCCAATCCATCACCAATGGCCTCTTCCATGCCACACCCACATGGAATTGTATCCTCAGAGCCTACTCTAAAAGCCCCACGCCCATCAAAGCCATTCTCATTTACAATCACNTATTTATATATCTAATTTGGAATATCATATTAAACTAGCTTAATTATGCTGAGTGGGACCCAACATGGCAAGCCCAATCAGCTGGCAAACTAACCAATCAAACAAACGCTCGTGAAAATTAATATCACTAGTATTAATCATAAGAGGGTAAGACTTTATTATCAGTAGACAGTAGGGAGTAGGGACACATACCTTAGTAGTAATATATATAAAAAATGTATAATATAAAATTATAATAAAAAAAATAGGCTAGCAAGAAGAAACAAAGAAGAATGCTTAAGCTATGTGAAATAAAATAAAATTTCTGTTACTATAGTGAAAATTTGAGAAACTATGTGAAACTATCATCTGAGCTTGCCTCATATTTGCAATAATAAATTGTTAAATACAATATGATTCAATAATAAATTGCATTAAAGTATTTTCAATCAGACCTAACCCATTTTCACGTGGAATTTCATTGGTATTAGGTTTCGCGTTTGGGTATTTTTATTCCTTCTAATTTTTTTTTTTTTTTTTTTTAAATTATTGTATACTTCCATAAATTATTTACTCCTTTAAAGTTTCGTTTTCCCCCTAAAAAGTATCAAAACCCCCTTGCCCTTGATAGGAGAAAATGAACTATGACCAATGAAGCCCCAAGAAGATAATAGATCCTAATGTGCAGCAAACACTTGCAAAACCTTCTTGTGTCCCTCAAAAGTGCTACAACTTACAATGCTAAAATTATAGATCAAGTTCTTACCCAATCCATCACCAATGGCCTCTTCCATGCCACACCCACATGGAATTGTATCCTCAGAGCCTACTCTAAAAGCCCCACGCCCATCAAAGCCATTCTCATTTACAATCACTTCTTCATTAGAAAAAACTCAACCCACCCTGATAATTATACTTACCCACCTCTACTCAAAGCTTGTTTGGGTGTATTTTCACTCCCTAAGGGTCAGGAATTACATGCCCATGTCACCAAACTTGGTCTAGACTCTGACATTTATGTGCAAAATGATCTTATCCATTTTTATGGCTTCATGAATGAACTGACTTCAGCACGTGGTGTGTTCGATGAAATGCCCCATAGAGTTATAGTCAGCTGGAATACGCTTCTGGGTATTTATAATGACAGCTCTAATTCTTTTGTGGAGGTGTTGGTGTTGTTTAAACGATTGATTTGTGAAGAAATTAAAGCTGATAGGATCACTTTGGTGATTCTGTTGTCAGCTTGTGCACAGTTTGGGAGGCCAGATTTCGGAAGAGCTGTGCATTGCTATGCAACAAAAGTAGGTCTTGAATGTATGTTGGGTTTGGAGAATGCGCTATTGGGAATGTACTTAAAGTGTAGAGAAATGCGTGCAGCTTTAAGAGTGTTTGATGAAATGGTTTCCAGGAGGGATGTGGTTTCGCATACGATTTTGATCAAGGGTTGTGCTGAAATGGGGATTGTAGAACTGGGTCGCGAAGTGTTTGACATGATTGTTGATAAAGACACTGTTATATGGAGTTCGATGATGCATGCTTATGTTAAAGCAAAACTGCCGAAGGAGGCTTTAAAGCTTTTCAAGATAATGGTTGATGAGGGGGTGATACCAGATGAAAACACAATGGTCAGTGTGCTTTCAGCTTGTGCTAGTTTATCTGACCTCGAATGTGGTAGGCTAGTGCATAGGTTTATCCACCAAAACAATATAAAGCAAGATGTTTTTGTGAAAACAGCTCTTATTGATATGTATTCTAAGTGTGGATGTCTAGAGGATGCCTTGGTTTTATTTTACAAAATGGGTTGCAAAGATGTTTTCACTTGGACGATAATGATCGAGGGTTTAGCCAATTATGGTCTTGGAATTGAAGCTCTGAGAGTTTTTAATCAGATGGAAAGACAAGGAATTAAGCCAAATGAAGCCACATTTGTTTCTGTGCTAGCGGCATGTAGTCATTCTGGGTTAGTTACTGAAGGCTGCCAGTTGTTCAGAAGGATGGTAGGAGTCGACAGAATTCAACCAAAGAATGAGCACTTTGGTTGTCTAATTGATCTGTTTAGTCGTGCAGGACTCTTGTATCAGGCTGAGGAGTTTATTGAAACCATGAAAGCTGAGGATAAGCTTATAGCTTATAAAACTCTGTTAAGTGCTTGCATTAGGTATTCAGAATTTGATGTTGGAGAGAAGGCTGCATATAAAATGATGAAATTGGGTCCCCAGAACCATGCTACTTATATCCTATTATCAAATTTCTATGCTCAGGCAGGTCAGTGGGCTGAAGTTGCAGAAGCAAGAAGAAACATGAAAGAGTTTGATATGAGAAAGATGCCTGGCAACAGTACTTTAGAACTAAAACATTACTTGTAGGCAATATAGAGGAAGAAGAATCGAATTGCTTCTGCGAATTGGTGTAGATATCTGTCTTATTAATTCTTTGTTGAGCGATATACAAGACAATGGTCAGAAAATTACAGAGTCAAATTGAATCAGTCTGTAAATTAGATTGTAAGAACAAATAACTTCATGAGGTCGCAAAATAAAATGGAATGAAATGAAGTTTTATATTTTGTCCTTGGTATGCGTAAATTTACAGTTCAGAATACAACACCTCAAATTGGATCTGCCAACAGAAAGGTTGCACATCTTATAACACCTGAACCTTCTAATTTAAGGTTGTACATCTTATAACACCTGAACCTTCTAATTTAAGGTTGTACATCTTATAACACCTGAACCTTCTAATTTACAATTTTGAGGCTTAAAGAACACTCAGAACAAGAGCCAAAACTACACCCATCACTGGAAAGAAAAACAAGATCTTTCTTTTCACATCACCACTTCTTCTAGCTGAATCTCCACTTTCCCACCAATTTTAACATCAAACACCAACCAAGTGTACACAAAAGTGCTACAACTCGGCCTCCTACAAGTCCACCAAGAACAATCAAGAGAAGAATTGAAAAATACCTTGAATTTCCCTTTCTTTCTCTTTCAACAATCTCCTCAACTTCACCCACGTCTGCCTCAGCCTGGCTATTACCAAACACATGGTCTTGTTCTTCACCAAGAATTTTTTCCAATTTTTCATCTCTCAGGCAAGCAAGACCGATCTCGCTGTTGGACTCAGACTCCTTTTCCTTTTCCTTTTCCTTTTCCCTCTCCTTTTCCTTTTCTTTGTTCTTCCATTCTTTCTTTGCATCACGCAGCTTCTTAGGAACAAAATTCTTAACAAATTTTCTTCTTATTTTGGCGCTTCTGCTTCTCTCCTTTTTATGTATCAAAACATCCAATTTCTCCCCATCACAATTCGAATCAGGAACATGAATTTCTCTCCCCGGAGACTTCAATCCAATTTCATTAACAAACTCACAAGAATCACAGACATCGCTTCTAACAATCGATTGGCCTTTTGATGAGTCTTCGTTGCATCTCTGAATCTCATGCGAACACAATTCATCATCATCCTTCTTCAACTCAGAATTTGGAAAATACAAAACTTTAATCTTTACAACGAAAGAATCAAGCACCGTTCTCGCCTTTGAACACGGTTTCAAGAAAACCAAAGCACCAGAACTGGCATACTCGACCAAGAAAAGTAAGAACGCCGACATTGTGATTCCAACCGCCATCTTTTTAGTACTCAAAGCAACAGCCACCACCATCAAGATCTTCAAAACCACCGCAAAAAACCCCTTCTCCATCATCCCATCCCCATCCGCACCGCCATCACATTCATTTAACACAACTAAATCCTCAACATTTCGCTTCGTCCCTTCAAACCCAGATAGCGAACTTACCACCAAGCCAGCCGCAGACACCGACCTTCGCACCGGAGACGGTGGCGGTGGCGGTGGCGGTGGCGGCGGAGAACGGATGCTATGAAGCGGAGAATACGGTGGAGACTTCCTTTTTGATGGTTTTTTCAAGCGATCTTTGTTCTTAACGAAGAGATCAACAAGAGAGGTGGGAAAACCAGTCTCAACGACGAGAGATCCGCCGCGTTTAGGCGAGTGATGAAGACCCGCCACCAAACGCGAAAGACTTGAAACTTTGTTGTTCTTTTTCCATGGCAAAGGCATGTTTATGTTGGTAGTTTGATAATTGTCTCTCTTCTTCTTCTTCTTCCTTTGAATGAAATGAAATTCAAATCAAAGAAAAAAACAGAAGTTGGAGAATTTGCATGAAGATGGTTAAAAAATTGTTGGAGAAATATTAATGGTGGAGCTGTTTACATGATTACAGGTTTGATTATTTTAAAGAAATAGAACCCTGAACCTGAAGGGAAATTCCTAGAGAGAGAAAAGGGTGGAAAAACAATAACGTGGAGAAATTTACATTACCGCGTGCGTGAGAGATATGATTAAGAACAACAACAACATCAACTGTGGTTAGGTCTTTGCTTTTGTTGTCTTTTGATTTCTCTTATTATAGTTTATTCTGTTTACTTCTTTTGGAGGGAAGGAAAGAGAAAATTATTAATTATTAAATATCAGTTTTATTGGAATTTTTTCCACCGATGAAGTTCAATAAAATAACAAATATCTCCTGAGACTTTAGAAATAACAATTTTTTTTTTTTTTCAGTTAGTTAGTTAATTAATAAATATTTATATAATTATTCTTTTTCCGTTTTTTTTATCACTAAAAATTAATAATAAAAGAGTTTTTGTAATTTTTCCAATCACATTAGAATTTATGTTATTTAATTATATCTAAAGGATTATATTTTTAACCCAGTTTTAATATATATTATTTTAATTTCAGGTTGGTTTTAAATTTTTCAGGATGTTGGTGCTGTAAACTATCTAATTTAAGATAATTTTCTCTGTTATTACTTATTATATCCATTTTTCTTAAATGGTTTTTCTTTTTCTTTTTATATTTAGTGTAATTTTAATTTATTTCTAAAAATGTTGAGTTAAGAACCTAGGATGGTATGTATCCATGAATAGAGTGAACTATTTATAAGGGAAAATTAAAAATTTCATGTTATATTGAATTGGTATATTAGATTTCATTACAAATTAAAAATGGATCAATTAAGGGTGGTGTATAAATTAAGAAAATTAATGTAAATAATATTAGGATGGAAAGCAAGCACTTAACTAGTCAACTAAGCAACTTGCTTTTGTATAATCTGTCTATAAATAAATTAAATTATACGTCAAATCAACTTTTTCTTTTTTATATGCTTTTGGCTAAGTAGGATAAAAAAACCACATTTATTTTGTGGAGTATTCTTACTGGCTCCCAAAAAGAAAAAAATATCATAAGTTCTCGGGGTCTCACTAACTAATAAGATTAGAAAATTATTAAACCCTAAGGATTGGTTTGCGGGTTAAGAATGATTGTTCTTTTTTTTAAATTATTAGATTTAAATTTTAGGACCATCTATTTAATCTTTTGAGCTTGAAAGATGTTTAATGGATTCTATAATTAATTGCGATACGCACAAATTGACACAGATATTTTGATTAACAAAAAAAAAAAAATTATTAACTTAAATTAACATAACAAAATTGTGTTTGAAAATTGACATTTGTAGAAAAATATTCTTATTGGCTGCCATTAATATGTTAAAGCATAGACCATTAGGTTTCTAAAATAATAAAAAATTCCTTACTTTTTAGAAAGTAATTAAAACTTATGATATTAAGAGTTAATGAATGTTTACTATATTATCATTCTATTATTTATTTTAACACTTAAAATTTAAGTGTAGGGAGAAATTTGTTATTCGATCATATCTTGGGGGGCGAATGTATTAAAACTCTCTTTAAGAAAAAAAAAAAATTGATAGTGTATTTACCACAACAAAATCCATTAAATCTATAAACATGGGTAATGTTATTAGTCTTTATCCATTCAAAACTTAAAAACAAAAAAAACAAAAACACAATAACAAAAACGCTAATCAATTGACTAAAAAAATACGATATTTTTTTTAGCAATACCGACTCAATTGAATAAGGTATTTATTGTTATTAGTCAAAAAAAGATACAGAGTCAACCTTCGTGAATTAAAGATTACAACACAAATCACTCAAATTTAGGATTTTATACAGTAATAAATCAATCCCACCCATACAAAAATTATGTCTAAATATACAGTTAACATCTTAATATCTGCTCCCTTTGAGCCTTAAAGACAAAAATAGATATTTAATCTAACAAAAAAAAAAAAGGAAAAAGAGAAATTATAGACCCCAACTTTATCGGATTCAAAATAAAGAAATTATTAAAGAATGGGACCCAAAATATAGTGAGCATGCATGGCATAAATAATTTGAGTGTTTTAGAGAGAGTGGTTTGATGGGCCCTGGGCCATTATTTAGTGGGCCCATCATAAATTAAAAACAAAATGAAAAGAAAGAAACATCAAAATGAGAAGCACGTGATAGTATTTGATGAGGGTGGTTGAGTCAAACTTTGGTCTTTACTCTGCCTTGAGAAAGCGCGGCTTTGAATTTTGATTACAGCTGTTTTTAACTTTTACACGGAAAACACAAAATTAAATTTCCATATTTAACATGAGAAACTTACGTTTATTAATATGTATATATTAATATGTACATTTTTTTTTTTTTTATATATACTTTTTTATTTACTAGTTCCCTGGTAATATATGTCACATGAAGGATTATTTGGTTTGATTAATTTAGATACTAAAAGATCTTATTCAAATTTAAACACTTTGAAATTTTTTTAGATTGTTTGATTGTATTTTAAAAGTGTTTATTGACTAACTGTGAACTGCCACGTTAGGATTGTGAGAACAAGTTTGTGAGAAATTGTTGTTGTTATAGTATTACTCATTATTTTATGGTTAATGAGACTCCTTCATTAACTCTTTTAGAGTTTATTTAGAGTGTTGAAATTTAAAAAATATTTTTGTTATATTTTATAAATTTGACTTGACTTATTTTTATATATTAATGTCTTTTTTTTTTTTAAATTAACACTAAAAAAATATTTTATATTTTCTTAATCAAATAATTAACATTTTTTTCATAGAAAAGCATATTTTAATAATCTCTACTCCAATAAGTTTTTTTCCTTTAAGCTCCACTTGAATAAGCCCTATCAAATTTACCTTAGTTTGTATATAAAATTTAACATTATTAACTAACATTTTAAATTTTAAATTTTATTTAATAGATTGATCTATTATCTATGTATCTGTCTATTTATATATAATAAAATTATATATAACTTATTTAAAACTATTTAAGAAATAGTATGTTAAATATATGTAGTGAAGGAATTAAGCATAAAAGTCGATATGTCCGAGTGGTTAAGGAGACAGACTTGAAATCTGTTGGGCTTCGCCCGCGCAGGTTCGAACCCTGCTGTCGACGTTTTTTTTAATTAATTAATTAATTATTTTTATTCACAAATATTCTGGCGTGACATGTGGATAAGGAAGTGGGAGCAATGATTGAATTGTTATTGCTTTAGGATATTCATTTGCTTTTACATGTATCTACATGTAATTTGAAACGGCCTTTACATCTGTCTCCACCCTTTATTTGCAGAAGACAATACGTAGTGGACGGAACTTTAGACCACTAAGAGCACTTATATTTAACCTTTCTGATATTTGATCTCTGTTGAGTGCCTTGTAAGTTTCTGATGAATTAATGCCTTATCTCCAAAAGCATGCATGCATTCATTTAGACCATTAGAAGACAATATTATTAATTAAAACATTGTTCAGCAGTATAACGACAGAATTCTGTCGAAGATTTAACTTTACTAGGATCTAACATTTTATTCTCAACGATATAAATAGACAATTAGCGTTTGCTTTTTACCCTTTGCATACGAAATAAATTAAAAAAGAGTGTGAAAAATTAATGGGCCATCTCCTTCACTCATCTATGATAAAAATATATATGAACTTTCGTTTCATGTAGCGAAAGTGTAATGATACTTATCCCATTATATGTTGATTTGGTTTATTTTCTTTATAAATAAGACAAGAGTTTTGTTTTATTTAGAAGAATAGTTGAAGCGTAATTATCTTCAAAAATAGGATACAAACGTAAAATGATTGTCCTAGAATAATATGTCTATGGCTTGTGCTGGTGGGTCTTACTGGGTCCAGAAGACCAAATTTGGCTATTATGTTTTCGCTATCATCAATGGAGACGACAGGGCACCACGAAGGTCAACAGGCCTGAAAACCTTATCATAATTTATTTGTCATATATATTCATCTTCACACTTGTTATATTCATTCAATATCTTGTCAAATCTCAACTTACTGTATAAACATTAATAAAAATAAAACTTAAATAGATAAGAAATTCAATGCACAAATGTAGTTATCACTTTATAACTTAGTTATAACTGATTTTCGCATGCATAAACCTTTAAAACTTGTGATTGAAGAAAAAAAAAAAAAAGATGGAACAGATACATAGAATTAATTGAGACATAATATATTACTCTAAGGGTGCGTTTGATTCGAGAAATGTTGTATTACTGAAAATGTTATATTAATAGAAAGATAAATTACTTTAAAGTTTACAGGGAATAAGGACAGATGGAGGGAGGGCTGGCAAGAAGGGTCAGTTGACCCTCCTTAAGTTTTAAATTTTTTTGACAAGTTTTATAAATTTACCCTTAAATGAAAAGTAAATTACAAAAATAAAATAAAATAAAATAAAATTCAATCCATCAAATAAGTTAAACTCTTATTTTTCTTTCTTGGATATCAAAACTAAACCCCTCTTTCTTTACTTCACAGATCTGACGTTTCAACAATCTAGGTTTCAAATTTTTTTCCAAAATTTCTAATTCTTTATCCACACAAATGTAGTTTTCTCCCACCTATCTATCAGGCAAGCCCATTTTTTCTTCAATTTGTTAAATAATACTAACACATTTTATATTTGTATTCATTTATTTTGAAAGTTTAAGGTTAAATTATAGATTATGATTTAAGAAGATGAAATTGCCATTGGAACCACAAATTGTACCAATTTTTTTCATTTGTGATGATCTATTGAAGTTAGAGAAAGTAACAAGATTTTCTTAAAGTTATTTTGGAGTTGTCCTTAGGACCAGTAACATGTATATATAAATGATAGCTTAGTTGTATACATAGAGAAATATGTATTTGATAGTATTGATAATGAAATCATTATACAATACTTTCAAAAGATGAAATTCCGTCGAGGACAATTGTAAATGTATTAGTTAATGAAATTTTTTTTTATAAATACAAAAATTATGCTTATTTTAATCTAAAATTGTATTGTTCTTCCAACTTTAACCCCCACATTTCATTTCTGGCTACGTCCATGACTGGGAATGTTTAGGGAAATGTGTTTAGTTAGGTTAGAATAAATTGGTAGGTATATTATATTGATATG